TTACGTCACTCCAAAATAAATGTTCCTTTTTGAACAGTAGATTTAACCGCTGTTTAATCTGCTGTATTAACATGTTTCCGGGTATTTTACTCTTCTTCTATTTGGATTCAGTGGTGTGGTTGTTGTATTCAGTTGGCATGCCAGAAGGTGTCAGGATATATATAAACCACAGAACCATTTTACCTTGTGACATGTTCATACCTTTAAAAAAAAAGCTGAGCACTTATAGCATGTGAACTTTAGTTCTGAGCTGTCCTTGTTTGAGCTGCAGGTGTTGCAGACACATTTGACAGACTGCTCAGTGGAACAGAGTTATTTTCAAACATATTTCTTATATTTCACAGGTCTGAAGTTTTCAAGTTTTTCAACACCTGCAGGTGCTGCAACGACTCACATTGTTGTCCATTATTTCCTGTCCAATGTCGACTGGTAGGACCTTGTGCTTCTTTCAAGTTCCACCCTTGCTTATCCGTCCTTTACGGATGAGAATGGTGATTTCTCAAGGTTTATCCTTGGCACACAGTGGCACTGTGTACCCACACTTCTCCTTAAACACAAATTGATTTCACACTTAAATCTTCACGGTATAAATCACAGACCCTCCACCTGCTCCCCACTATAACTGTCTCCTTCTCTTTTTCCTTACATCTCATTTAACCTGCTCTCCTCCACCAAATCTTCCATTACATCCTCCCTGGCTCATGTGTAGACACACACCTGTGATCCTGAGGTGTGTCATGACCAAATGACCAGGGATGCTATAAGGAAGGAAATATAAGGAAAGAATGCTAAGAGACGATGAGTGAAACAGTGAAGGCCGGAGGCATCTGCTGGGTGTTACAGGGCAGTTTCTAGAAAGGCTGTGCGTAGGAAAATTGAGGAGCTATTTTCATGCCACATTAAGTTACACCAGCCTTCCACTACAGGACTTTGCTCAGACAGAGGAGGCTTGCCTCTATTGTGAAGGCTAATAATCAGCGCAATGGAGTTATTACCCAGCACTACATTTCACAGGCCTAACCTAGACAGCATCAAAGAAGGGGAAGAGAGGGAACGTGGGAGGAGGAGTAGACATGAATTCCAATGGATTGTAACAAACGCTGCTACCTCCAGCCCAGCCCAGCCTCATTCATTTTATATGCTTCAAGTTCAGCTCAATACAAATTGATATCTGGGTGAATGGGATGAAAGTACTAGGGGTAATGCAAAAATGGCAAAACACAAAACGGGAATTTAATTCCATTACTGCATCTTTGATGTCTGTCCAGTGTCAACAGTGTAACAACAGAGGCTGGTGCTTGTAGGAGCCCCTGCATCTTCATACATCTTTCCATTATTAACACCACTCTAAGCACATTCCACTGCTGTCAGTCTGGGGCAACATCACAGTGAAATATTAAGCCCCCTGCCATGCCTATCACTGCTCCGCTGTGTAAGTACATTAACTGTACAGCATTTGAAAGGGGTCATTATCAGCCAAAGAGTGAAAAGGACTGATATGCAAAGCATTATCATACATGTTCCCACGCAGCAGTCAGTCAAGTTCCCAGTGAATATGTTTGTGTGAGCAGATGATGGTATCAAGATTTTAACAGTGTTGTTTGTCAGGGCCAACAGTAGCAAATGGTCTGTGTAAAAGGCAATTTGAATTTATTGACTTTTTGAATTTATTGTGTTTTGTCGCTGTTGTCTGTGGACCTCTTCCTAAAATACCATAAATTTATTATGTCACTAAAAGATAAATGAAATACCTCCGAATTAATTTGCACCAACTCGGTAATGTTCGCTCCTACAGAAGTGGAAATATGCTAATGTTGGTGCTTTGTAAATAAAATTAATACTGAGTTTGTGGCATGCAATGTCACAATCTCAATGTGCACTCTTACTATTTTTCTCTCAGATTCATTTAAAATTATAACCTTAAAAACACATCTGTACCATTTACTATTCAACAAAAAGAATTGTAGCAAAACTTACCATTAATGTCATACTGTTGCTTTATATTCAGAATTTGCGCTATACTGGCAACATAATTACATTTTAAGACCCCTATCAAACTTAAATATTGTCTACAAACCATTTGTAAATAGATTACGAATTAAGCAATATAGTGACTCGAGCTATCAAGCTCACATAGAGTAAAATACACCATTAAATACCAATAAAGCCTAATTTCAGTTTATTGATATATTTTCTTTATATTTGGCTGTTGTTGGTCTATTTATCAGGCTAAGAGAATCCCACAGTGAAGCAAATCAGTATGCGCTGAGAAATAATGGCCATTTCAGTGCAAGAAAATATTAATTAAAAAAATCTAATTAAATTGTAAAGCCGTGGGAGGCTTGCAGTGCTTGTTACTTTTCATGAGTTTTTTTTGCCTCTCACAAACTTAGCACAACCTGGTGTGTTTCCCTTTGTCTTAAGGTGAGATAAACTGATATATTCCTATTCCTCTGAAATAAATCTCTCCTTTTTGCCTTCAGAACTGCCTTAATTTGTCTTGTCAGAGTTTCAACATTGCTGTGAAACATTGCTCACAGATTTTGGTCCACGTTGACATGATGACGTGAATCTCCCATTCCACCACATCTCAAAGGTGCTCTGTTGGATTGAGATCTGGTGACTGTGGAGGCTATTTGAGTACAATGAACTCATTATCATGCTCAAGAAACTAGTTTGAGATTATTTGAGCGTTGTGACATGTTGTCCTGCTAAAAGTGCAACCAGACAATGAGTCCACTGTGGTCATCATGGGATCGACACGGTAAGCAGTAATACTCAGAGAGGCTATGGTGCGTAAACAATGCTCAGTTGGTACTAAGTGTTCCCATGACTTTACCACCACCAGCAGCTTCGACTGCTGATACAAGTCAGGATGGATGCTCTCATGGTGCCGCAGCAGACTCAGACCAGGAAATGTTTGTGTGACTTGTACCTTTAGTGTCCGTTTCTCAATGCTACAACCCACCTGGCTCAATGTTCAGTACATTGTGTACTCATGTTGTAATGAGTGATTATTGTTGTTACTGTTGCCTTCCAACCAGCTTGAAGCAGTAGGACCTCTTCCATCAGCATCAGCACTTTTGTCCAGAGAACTGCCGCTCACTTGATATTTTCTCTCTCTTTTTTGGAGCCATTCTCTGTAACTCTAGAGATGGTTGTGCAGGAAAATCCCAGCAGACCAGCAGTTTGTGAAACACTCAGACTAGGCTGTCTGGCACCAGCATTCAGGCCATATTCAATGTCGCTTTAATACGCCTTTCCACTCCATTCTGATGTGCAGTTTTAACTTCAGCAGGTCATCTCGACTGTGTCTACATGCCTGAATGCACTGAGTTGCTGGCATGTGATTGGCCGATTAGATATATGCGTTAGAGAGCATTTGAACAGACGTACCTAACGAAGAGCCTGGTGAGTGTTTATCACTTATAGTACAATACACTGCAAATACACAGGAACAATAACTTTGTTAAACTGAATAGTAGAAGTTTTGCTTTGATGTTATTTGTGCATTAGAGCTATTAAAAGCAAATATTGGATAGTCAAATCCAAATAGACATTTAAAATGCCCACAGTGGTAAATATATACATAGAATTACAGTTTTAATAATAAACAGATATTAATGTTACTGTACATTTTCCCCTTGCCAATTTATATATTTACAGTATTTAAAATCTCCAAAAAGGTATTTGTTCTATAATAATCAGCCCATTTCACTTGACTTAATATGTAATGAATTTAAGTACTTGCTGTTTATATTTATTTATTTTATGAGAGCAGATTTTAAAGGCTGCCTCAGATACCACAGAAGGAACACGGGAAGGAAGATATTCCTACATTCTGCTATTACATCTTCAAAGGCACCTGAAGCCCTTTTGAACAAAATACAGGCTGAAGAAAATCACACAAGAATGTGAATTAAACAAAAACACATCAAAGTGTGTCAGCTTAACCCACACATGCACCACATGAGCACTTTTGCCTTGTGAGAAAAATATATCTAATGCACATTTCTGTGAAAAGAAAAGAAAAATCATCAAGAGGATCGGAGACCGTGTTGTTTGATTGCAAAGAGTCTTTATTTTTTCCTTGTGTTCAAGTACGGTCCTCTCTCAGCAGGGTCATCTAAGAAGCATGGACACACAACACACAACTCGCACCAGAGCCTGAGCATCTTCAGGTGGGATTTCTCTTTTTGTCTCGACTGGGGTGGGGGGGTCCCGATCAGCAGTTTCCATGTTTAGGTCAAGTGAACAAGAGTCCTGTTGTACACCACATAATTGTTTTCTCTGCGAACATTTGTTGCATTTAGTGACACTGACATCAGCACATAAAAATTATATATATATTTATATATATATATTTATATTCATATTCATATATTTATAGATTTGTCATTCTATATCAACAATTCCTTCTAGTGATTTTTTCCTTGGTTTTTCATGTTGTAAAACTGGACAAACTGTCGGTAGGAATGCCTTGTTTGGACATTGATTTGTACAGGAACGCTCACACACATACACGCAACAGAGGCATACGCACACTACTACACACATGCATGCATAGATACGCTCGCTCAAGTTTACGTGTACACACAGGCCACACATTCTGTCACATACATGCACATGTACACAAACACACGTGTGCGCACACACGTCAACCCCCCCGCCCACACACACACATCCGCATACACACCCACATGTGCTCAGCCAACACGGAGAGGCAGGTCTGTACATCTACGGGAGAGAGACATTACCCATGATTCCCAGCAATAAGTACAGCTTCACCTGATCAAAAACACAAGAAAATAAAAGTTACAAACAGCAGAGTGAGTCGGCCAGTCTACGTCGTCTGTAAACGTCGACAAAAATTTCCTTTTAAAGTCCTCTTGGACTGGTCCACTGTGTGTCAAAGTTTGGCACAAGACCTTTCTCTCTCGTCTTCCTTTGTCTCTACTGTACACTGAGATGTACAATACTGGCGGCTTTCACTGATGTGAAAAAAAAAAACTTGAAACAGTTTGGGTTTTTTTTATGCAGAGGTGATGATGACAAACCACTAAAAGTTGACATTGTCAAACATGTCAGATTCCCCAAAGTGAAAAGACAAACCTTTCCAAAGACAGAGAGTGTGCTTTAAACATACACATATAATCTTTAGGCAGTGAAAAAGCACTTTAGTTGACGGGGACTCTGGAACAATGCTGCTCTGCCAAACTGATGCTTTGGCAGCTTTGAACTGCTCTTTACTGTGTCCATGACAAAATTCACTCGACGGAGAGAGAAAAACACAAATATCGCAGTGCTTCCTCTCTTCCTGGGAAAGGAAAGGGGGGCCAAAACAAAAGTGTCTGCTGACACCCATCCTGATGATGTCTGTCAGGTCTGATTCTCGTGTTCACATTTCGCTTATTTTTTGTTGCTTTTGATGTTTCGGTCAGCAGTCAGTCATGGAAAATAAATTATGTTTGTATAAGTGGCCCATCAAAAACGTGTAATATACACACTATATCACCTTTTACTGTACACAGAAAATAAAAAGTTTCTTTTTGTTTTGCTGAAAGTGAAAATTTAGAAAAGTACAAATAAAAAAGATGTAAAAGAATGACGACAAAAAAAGAAGTCTCTTGAAGATGACATTCCTTGAACACAAATTCAGAAGCCTCTGGAGGCGGCAAGGCCATTGCAACAAAAAAGGGGGATAAAAGCAGTGCTACGTTTGTCACTTGGGTGAAATGGTAAACATCCACTTCTTGCTTGTTGCCTGATGTGCTTTCATCTTTTTCTGTGCTTTTATTCTTCCTGACCTCTTCAAGAACCCTCATGCCATCTTTGTCTCTCATCTCCTCCTTAGGTCAGACAGCTCTTTGCTCCTACAGAGTAAGAACGCTCCCTCAACTGCTGCTTATTTCTTTATCCTAGCGCCCTCTTCTTCTCTCTTGACATCTGCATACTCTATCCGTCTGGTCATTTTCTCTCTTTTTATATTCTGTTTCCTACTCTTAGCTCAAACTGTCAAACACACTTTGTCATATCTACTTCCACTAGCTCCACTCACTGGTGAAATGGAGCTGACTTTAAAGAAATAAACTGGTCTGGAAAAAAAAGTTCACATGCACATGCAGTCTCTCTTTGTTGCTCGACCTGACTTTACTTCCTATCCCCATCCAGCTCTGCTATCCCACTTATTTTAGAGAACATAAATTTCCTGCCACTGGCTACAAGATCGCTTTCAAAATACCACTTATAATCACTGCTGATGTCTTGCAAAAATAATCCCTTTCACACAAGCACACACAGACTCTTTCTTGCCCCCCAACACTGTAGTCTAACTAGACCCAGGAGTCAGGTGAGGCCGGATAGTGGCTGGTCTCGTAGTTTAGTTCGCTGTATGGCCGAGAGGCCGAGTAGAAGTCTACGTAGTTGCCGGTTGATTTGAGGCCCAGATGCATGCGCAGATCTTCCCGCGGGTCCCTGGGTGGTCCGGTGGAGATTGGAGGTTGCTGGGGTGGGGCCTGAGGCTGGGCCTGAGCCTGGATCGGTGGCTGTGGCTGGGGTGGCGGAGGTGGCGGTGGTCCTTGGTCCTCGTAGTAGGCCTCGTCAAAGCTCCGGCTCTGGCTGTGAGGTGGAGGCTGCGGTGGCTGAGGCTGGGGGAAGGAGGGAGGGGGAGGGTAGGGGTCGTAGTCTTTTAGCACGGCTGCTGACGGACTGTCCAGCTGGGGCTGAGGGGGCACGACGCAGGGCTGGGCTGGACCCTGGCGGGGAGTGGTTGAAGTGAAAGAGTGGTAGGTGGGGGGGTGAGGTGCAGCAAGGAAAAGAATGGAGAGTCAAAGACATGTGGGTAACAGGAGGAAAGGTGGGAGTGGAAGAAAAGGGGAGAGAGATAAAGAGGGAGCGATGGAAAGGAGAGTGACAGGTAAGAGTGAACACAAGGGACAAAAGGTTTTGAAAGGCAGGCTGTATGGGTAAAGAGCTCAGAAAGGAATCAGTGGGGAAGGGGCTCATGCTGTGAATTCTCTATTACATGCAGGCGTCGAAGGCGGCAATGCATCTCTAACACTATAACACTATAACTCGCACAGGCCAGTTGTGTGCGTGTGTCTGTGTGTGTGAGCGCACGCGTGTGCAGCCGCGTGAAGAAAACGTGTTTACATGTTTAACTGCCAGTGTTAAAAGTTCGTACCCGTACAAATGAACTTATACTTTAATTAGAAACTTATAAGTGATGAAGAAATCGGGCCAAAATTTCAAAGTCAATGGCTCTGATGCCTTTTATTTCCTTTCCCTCGGTACCAGCAGAGTCATTTACCAAGAGCAAATAATTAGTGCAATCAACTGAGTTAATGACTTTAATTGCCAGTCGGGTGTGGTTTCAGGTTGCAGTCGTTTGATACTGCTTGAGCTGAGGGTGTGCCTCCATCGCACACTCTGCCAGCACATCTCTTATCACACTGGGACACCTTTTGTGTGCATATATTTGTGCGTTTTCTATCCTGCTGCTATCTCTGTTAAAAAACCCCTGAAATGCATGCACTGCTAAAACGCTGTGGTGGTGTATTGCTACATATGCATACAGAAAAGTGGATTCACAGAGCAGCATTAACTCACCTGGTTTTGCTTGATATCATCGCTGGCAGTCAGGTAAGAGTTTCGGAACAGTGTAGATGTCCCACAGGAAATTTGAACTTGATGGATAAAATAAAAAATAAAAATTATACCACTTTTTCAATTAATGACAAAAATAGCTACTAATAATACCTATCAGATATCTGACAATAACTTATGAGAGTTTCAAAGCTCTGGCTCTGGCTGTGATACTTGTCACATGAAGAATTTATCATAAGAGAAAGCAATGGAAAAAATAGAAAACATTAAAAAATAGAAAATAAATAAATAGACATAAAGGGAGCGTGGAAGCTAATAGAGTGAAGAGATAACAAGAAGGCACGGGAAGAAAGAAACTGGAAAGGAAGACAGGAGAAGATTGAGAAGAATCAAAGTGTGTGAGAAGAGAAATGGTGTGAAGCTGAAAAAAGGCAGATAAGTGAAAGAGGAAATAGGGAATGAATATAGAGGAGAAAGAAAGATAAAGAGGGGGATAAAATAGAATCATTTAATTCATCTCCATCACACACACATACACACACCTGCCATGCCGTCTTTCCGGGATGTGTGCTCTCCTTTGTTGCTATGGAAACCGGCGTTGGTTGCCGTGGAATCGTAGTCCATCTTGCGTTCCTTCAGACTCATCATCTCTCTGGGGGAGGCTGGGGCGCTCGCTACACACACACACACACACGCGCGCGCACACACAAAATAATGAGCAATAAACCCAGAACAGCATGAGCCTTCACACTCTGCGTGCTTACACTGGTGTGTCTGTGCGTCTTGGTCTTTTTCAAGGTGCACAGTCATTATTCATCATTTAACTTGTCAGCAGAAAGGGTCACCTCCAGCATGTTAGACGACTTCTGGGAATTCTCACACACAGACGCACACAAACATACACATGGACGCTTTGGACAGTTTACTTAATAGTTTTATGTCTTTTCTTCTCTTCTTTATGTGTTTAAAGTTCATGTTAAATATCCAGCTATCTAACAAGCCAACAAGTCAGATCAACTTTGCTTGTAGTGCATTACAAAAGTGACCACTGATCATTACACCCTCGCACAAACAGGTCTTGTATTTCTTTAATTTTCTTGGTGCCTCAACTTAAACAATCTCCATGACTGGCTGCAAAATCTTGCACATAACAACAAAATAAATGGAGGTGCTAGTACCATCGAATGCATGCACAAGTCCATGCCATGCTAAAAGCATTACATTTAAAAGACAGCAGTGATTAATCTGACTGATCAAAGATTGCCAAATCATAGTTATATACTGCAGTGCAGTTTTCAGCAGTTTTAATGAGATTAAGTACATGTTTACTGACAGCACTCACCGTGTTCCCTGTATGCTTTTAAACATTTTAATCGCATTTTAAACGGGATGTTATTTAACCCGATTAAATGGACACTGTTCTAACAGTTTTTCATGCAAAACATAACAACAGTTAAATTGTTATTGCCTTTTTGTGCTTGTGTACTAAGTAGTATTAATGAACTCAATTGCAGCAGTGTTAAAATACTGAAACTAAATGGAGGAGTTTAGCTGCTAGTTTATTGGTTATTGTGACAACAAAGACATTTATGAGTGGCCTCATGCCAATATGCAGTCCTATTTGTGTGTTTTCCAACTCTGCTGCACTGCTAACTTCACAGTAGAGCTATGCTTTCTTTGGAGATACTATCAAGTTTCAAACCTATTTAGGATCTCCACACCTCCACACATAATGTGGACTGTGTGGATTTGGACAATTATGCATGTGTACATATCTGTCCAAAGACATGCAGTTTGTGGGGATAGGTTAATTGGCCATAGGTGTAAATGTGGGAGTGAATGTGAGCGTGAATGGTTGTCTGTCTCTGTGTTGGCCCTGCGACAGACTGGCGACCTGTCCAGGGTGTACCCCGCTTCTCGCCCTATGACAGCTGGGATAGGCTCCAGCGCCCCCGTGATCCTGAAAAGGATAAGCGGAAGCGAATGGATGGATGGATGGATGGATGGATGCATGTGTGCAGGCGATGACAAACATGGCTCTCATATTGTAGAAATACTGATAATGTCCCAATTTTCTTTTTTAAACACACACATGCAAACTTTTAGCCCATCACAAGGTAATCCCGTTATAGCATACTTTAAGTGCTTACTCACCACCTCCTATCATAACACTGGACTGCCATAATCCTGCCCACCTGTTTCAGATTGCCTATATAAAGATTCTTATAACTAACTCAATGTTTACATACCAACCCAGTATCACGGCAAAGCGTGTAATAGACACGCCTCTCCACTCTGTTCATTTCACGCTTTGCTGGGATACCGGGTTGTACACACATACAGTATACTCCAGGAAATGTGAGTACATTCTAAAAATAAGCTTTTTTGGCATGCTCACACTAGTTTTGACATTTATTTAATATCTGTTACACATGCAAATATGCGGCACACACAGACACACACACACACATGTGGAAGTCACCATTCTCAGTCCAATGAGCCATCGGGTAGAAACACTTTTCATGCTTCTGAATATAAAGAAAAGCAGATGTAGCCTACTCCAAAAATTAGTGCATAATTGTCTTTGTTCTCTTTGGTTGTTCTATACCATGATTAAAGGTTAGAGAAGAGCAACCTAGGGATGAAAACACTTATGAATATGACTAGCAAATGAAATAAAGGCTTTTAAAGTGATTTTTGGAGAGCCATTGAATTTAAATTCATCTATTTGAATACTAAAGGATGCCCGTTTTTCATCTCGGCTGTTCAATGTTTGACATAAAAAGCAAAGGCGCATTGTACCCTCTTATCTGTTCCCCAGCCTTTTCTGCATTTTGACAAGACATTGTATTACACACGTACACGCGCAAGCACAGAAACGGCTGTGAAGAAGGCACATAAACATAATCACTTTGGCTGTGGTGAGCCACGCTTTTATAATGTTTTAACACATTTCATTTTTAATTTTATCATCCAATACCTCTGTAGCAGATTCCATTAAAGTAGCAGCTCAAACCTTTTACAGAAACCTCCAGAGACAGTGCCATCGCTGCTGGTTACCTAGGGGACCTGGCTTGTAAATGCTCGATATGACAGCCCGGGAGACAAATTCTATCAGTGCAGAACACAGCAGGACCCTGTGGGGGCCATGACACATGCAAAGGTCTCTCTCTCCTTCTCTTGCAGCCTCTAACCTCCCCTTCTCTTTCATAGTCGTACTACTCTCTTCTCACATCAACTCTTTCACTCCTCTTCTCCCAGCATACTTGCATACCATCATCACTCCTTCTGCTTTGATCCATCTCTAAGGAGTCGGACTGCAGTCTGGAGTGTATGCAGAGGAGAGATATAGGAGCATGTGGGTGTGTGTTAGTGTGTGTCTGTGTGTTTGAGAGCACACTGAGGTGGCCTGTAAAGAGTGAGAGATCAGAGGGAGAGGTGAGAAGAAAGCAGGATTACTGCAAAGAGGAGGAGGAGAGTGAAACGGGTGAATGAGAAGGGGTGGACAAGCTCAAAGGCAAAGGGGGAGGCATTGTGTGTAGACAGAGGAGGAGCAGAAGAGAAAGATGGGAGTCATGGCTCAATTTACCCCTGCTGATCCACTGTACAACAGACATCCACAAATTTCTCTATGCACTATAATCTCAAAACTTCTTATTTTCAATGTCGCTGGCTAAAGTCAAATCCCCAGCCTTCTTCACTTCCTCCTCCCTGCATTAACCATCCCTCAATCCCTAATTCTTCTTGCCTTCTTGCTTTTTCCTCTCTCTATCTCCCTCCGTGTTTATCTCATCCCTCCTTCTTTTCCTCCTCACACACAAAAACACACATTTTATTTCTCTCTCTCACTCCCACTGTCTTCCTCTCTTAGCAGGGTCCTTGAAGACCTCTCTAAGCCAGGAGGAAGGAAAAGTACTTTTCTGCCTCATCAGCTTGCTAAGCCCAGTGTGGTGAAAGAACAGCTAAAGGCTCTTGAACCACCGATGCTAACAGCTAATGCTAATGTGCCCTTTGCAAAGCATGAAGGCCAGTGGGCTCAAGCTATGGGCTAATGATAATCATATTTTGTAGCATAAGCCTGTAATGCTATGAGCTATTTAGCAGTGGTATAATGACTGATCGCATCGCAAATGTTAATGTAGATGACTAATGTCTAAATTAGATTCTCTGTGTACTGTACCACAGATGTAACCCTTTATTCAACTGATTTTCTGTAACCACTTGTCAAAAGAGTAAAATTCAGTAAAGCCTTAAATTTTAATATATGCTTGTTTTTACAAACAAAATCCTGCCTTATTTTGATAATCATACCAAGTCTCTAAAGACAATTTATACCAACTGGAAAAGATGCTGACTGCTTTCTTAAAAATTCAAGTGCAGCTTGCAGGCTTAAAGAAATAAAGAAAATAAAATTATTAATAAAATATTATTTGCTATAACCTTGGCTTGAATATTGTTTCCCCAATTATTTATCAATTTATCTGACTGCCTGTGATAAAAGAAAGACAAAAAACAAAACAAACTGTAATTCAGTATTTTTTGGTTTCAGAAAACAAAGATTTTTTCAGTTTGATGATGTGCACCATCACAAGACACATACCCTGTTTGGCCATGAGATATTTAACTAACCACACAACTAAGTGAAACATTTTTTAGATATGAGGTCTTAATCTTGGCTGTTAAGAGATACACAAGAATGAATGAAAACACGTATGCATAGCATCTGTATAGGGAGTGCCACGGGTTTCTCACCAGAGCGGTTATTTGGAGATGTCCTTACAGGAGAGACCGAGGGAGTTCGCGAGGAAGAATAGGGCCTCTGCCGGTCTCTTTCTATTGTTGAGGCAGAGCCCACAAAGTGATACTGGGAGTAGCCATCCTGTAAAATAAAACAAGGAAGAAGCTTGTTATCACCTGTGATAAGTAACTGCACAAATACATAATCTTACTGTCATCAATTATTATAGCAATTACATATTTTAAAAACGAAGATTTTTTAAAATCATCCATCCATCAATCCACTTTCTGCCGCTTGTCTGGGTGCAGGTTGCAGGGGCAGCAGCTTAGACTGCCAAGGAGGCATCCTAGCCAAATGTTACCTCAACTGGCTCCTTTCAGTAGCACCAGCTCTCTTTTGAGTCTCTAATGATGTCTGAGCTCATATCGTCACCCAAAGTAAGCCGTTTTTGGTTGCCTACATCCACAAACTCCTTCTTTTGGTCATTACCCAGGGCTTGTGGCCTTAGGTGGGAACATAGATTGAGCGGTAAAGCTACAGCTTCACTCTCAAACTCAGCTCTCTCTTTATCACAGGAGACCTATGATGTCTGCACCAGTCTGTCAGATATCAGAATTATTTGATTTTTTTACTGATCAATCATCAAAACCTCCTATTACACGATACAATGTCACCATGTAAAAGACTGATCTTTTAGGAATATGTATTTTTGTAACGCACCTAAGAATGATGATCCATTAGTCTTAAACTCTGAAAGGCCCAAACAGATTTGCAGCTTCCAGTGGATGAAAGGATATGAACTGTTATTAGAGTTAGCGATACAACAGCGCCAGTTTGATTACCACGCAGCAGGAAGTGGCACTTCAACAACAGCTATATGACACAGCATGTCTGAATTACATTTTTACTGATGTGCTTTAGAAATAAACCCCTCCATGTACTCATACAAGTAACACTTTAAAAGCACAGAGTGGTTTGAGGACTATATTAGGAGTAACAGCAACGAGTAACAAGCGGAAGAAACACAAACTAACGTGACCACGATCCAGCGATCTAGCAGAAAGAAAAAGGGTCACACTGACCGTGAAATGTTCAAGAGAAAACAAGTTTGTTTTTTTGATATTTTTGACAGGCCAAAAAAAGAAAAATCAATAATTTGTGACTTGCTGAAATTGTTCAAATTGATTCACTAAAAGAAAAATCTCTGTAAATACATTTACAGAGCCAACTGTATTTAAATATTGTCCTTATTGAGATTATTATCGTGTAGTAGGTAATTGAAACATTATTCTGGACACTGGTGGACACTGACAAACACACTGCATGTACAAGTGAGCTTACAGCCATGCGCATGCAACAAATGAACACGCTTGCCTCAATTCTGAGCTTAGTAAATAACCCACTCCCTTCGTAGAAAAATTAATACAACTAACAACTCCAAGCATAATTACTGCCAAGCAAATGACTTTGTATCAGCATTAGTTTAGTAGTCATTGGAGCAAAGCCCTTTTCATAAAAATGGATTATGAGAGTCAACAACAATCACAGAGCTGGAACCAAATTCAATTTAGCATTAAGATAATTGGGTACCTCTAAAAGCAAAGCACAAGCAGATAATAAAAGATATCGGAGGCATGTTCCATCATAGCGTTACTGTCTGAGGGCCTAAGCTGAGCAGTGGGAAACTGGTGAAAAAGTGATGACTGAGAGTACATAGGAGAGGTGAATCACTCCAGTTGCAATGATGCTGGAGAGGAGGACACGGAGGGGAGGAGAATGAGAGACGAAGGAGATGGGGCAGAAAGAGAAAAAGGTGAGATAGACAGAGGACTAGCTGAGGGAGACAAAAGATGGCAAAAAGTAATGAGCGAGGAGGAGGAGGAGGTGGGAGATTGCCAGAGAGAGTGATGACAGCAGAGCAAAGATAGCGTGAGGAGGGGAGAGGTAACACGGAGGAGAGGTACGGATGGAGAAGTACAGACACCAGCCAGAGAAAGCAAGAACTAGACTGGATTGAACGCAGTCCCATGTCCTCCCTTGACTCTCATTTCCTGGCAGAGTGCTGAGAACTAATAGAAAGCTGGATCCTCTGACACACAGCAGTTCAAAGGTAGCTCATTTCTAGTCTCCACCATTCCTCCCACCCTCATATTCACTTCATCTATTTATCCACCATCCCTTCAGTATTCTCACTCACCTTGTTTCACATTCACGTTGCACCTTCCCACCTCCCCCCATCCCAACAAATCTCATTACATCCAATGTTACCTCCTTATGGTACATTGGAATGCCTGCTGTCAAACTGTCATGCTGCTCAAATGAACAGAGTCACTGAATATTGAACGATAAATGTATTTTACAGAGTGATGTACAAAGAGTGCTGCCTGGAGATGTAGCTCAGAAATGGGGCCCAGGAATGATTGGGGCAGGGGGCGGTGGCTTAAGGGCTTCCCCAAGCAAAATGAGCCATAGTCAAACTTTGCAACAATGACTGAAATCAGAGATAAAGAATATGACATATACAAAAATGTATGGGTGTATTCACATTTGGTGTCTTTCTACATAGAGTAATAACTTTATATTTTGCCATAATTTTATTCCACTCGTTCCCTTAAGAGTAAAAGATTAAATCATTATTTTCTGCACTGACTTTACTTTATATTCTGTATGAACCTCTTCAAGCTTTTCATTGACTTTCGAATATTTATGGTCTGAAATAGTCAGACTCGCAATTCTCCTTATATAAGACAGACAAATTCGATACTTTGTAAGAAGAATTTCATATGCAAATAAATAAATAAATTCTGTGATTTTTTATTATCGATTGGTAGAGGATTAGTTTGTGCTGTGTATAACCAATAAATATTAAACCCAGATTAAAATTTAATCAAGGACCAAATCACACAGTGTCTGAAGGTCTGGACGGTATTTATTTCTCTGCCCTGTATCCATGGTCCAGCGTTTGTTTCGTGTCAGCGTGTGCTGTGAAACTTCACACTTACATTCACATTTATCATTCCTGGTCTTTCTGGCTCTCACCTATTCTCCTCAACATACCTGTTTTTTCTTCTCTTTTCCACCCACCTTGTCTTTCTCTCTCACAAGCTCTATACTCCAAGCACCCCTTTTCAACTCCTACTGTAAGAATGAGAGGAGAAAAAAAAAAGAGGATTGGTTGCCAGGCAACCGGTCTGCCTGTTGCTCTCAGCATCACTGGATGGTTAGCTGAAGGTCGCAGGACTGAGAGGTAAAAAGTGATTATTGCCCCAACAAATGAAGAGAGTGTGCGCGTGGGTATGGCGGCACTTTGTGCAATTGTAAAACGTTACACACGACGAGTGGAGGGGGCCCTCCGGTCACATCAACCACTGAACATTGAACGTTTTCATTCCTTTAATCCATGCCTCTTTCTCACTCATTTCAAGCTCCAATTTTAATATTTGCAATTATCACCACCTCCCTTTTGAGCCATCTGTCCTCTCAGGAGCAATGTGCCCCTCGACCTTTGCATCCCTCATACTGGTTACTGGTGGTGTTGCTGATTTAGCAGCTGACCTTTATACTATGGTTGCATTGATTGCAAAGAGCCCAGAATGTTGCGAGTGCTGCAACTCTGCCTCTCTATCTTCCCAAAATACTGTTGTTAGGCTGTCTGAGGGTAAAGGCTATCTTAACATCCCTCCATCTCCTTTCTGTGTTTCCCTCCCTGTCTGTGTCTGACTGTGGGAAAAATCAGATGAAACAGAGTCAGCTTCTGAGGCCTGAGCTTGTTTGATATTCAATGATGTTTTTAAATATCCACCTCCTTCTCTCTGTCTTTCTCAGTTGTGTAGTTGATCTTTCCACAAGTATAGCAGTGGATGATTTCATTTTTTCAAAATAAAAGTAGTGGAGTGGAACCCTTAGAGCTCTCTATCAGATTAATTCATTTTATTTGCAGTAACATCCTGAACATTCGGGGCTCACTGATCATGCACAAGACTAGGCTGAGCAATCACTGACCTTACACACACACACACACACACACACACACACACACACACAC